GATGTGGAGTTTAAAAGACTTGTCAAGTAGAGGGCTGGCTGTGAAGATTGCAGAGTAGGAGGACCCTAAGCCTGCCTCTTCCCAAGGATACAAGTAGATAACACTCCTATCTGCATAAATAACCCAGAAAGTAACCTGAAGACTGGCAGAACAAATTCCACAACTAAACGGTGAAGAGGCCAGATCAAAGAAGGTAGAAAGGGCCAAAACCTGGTCTTAGAGTGAAGTGGACTGGGGCCATCTGCAGTACAGAGGGAGCTGGTGGCACAGAAGAGAGTGAAAAACAGACTTTCACACTAGAGAACCCACCAACTGGAGAATGAATCCCCATAATATTTGCCTTTGAAAGTGAGAGGAGCTGAATTTGTGAATTCTTAAAGCCAGTGGGACTTAAAGCCTGGAACTTTAGAAATCAGGGGCTTGGCTCGGGTGAGAGCATGGAGGGCATTAGGAAGCTGAGGCCCCAGCATTAAAGAAACAGCACACAAATAGCCCAAATATACAGCTAGAACCAGCAGTTTGAAAAACACCGAGGGAAGACAGGAGGGAGTGATTTGCTCATCTCAGAGTGGCTTGTGGCTCCAAGAGACAAGAATCGTGGAGCAACCCCTCCAGGAACAAAGGAGCTGGCAGGTGCCATTTACCTCTCCTGCTCCCCAGCATGAACAACAGCCACCTGCAGGAACCAGCCTGGCTCTGACACTTGTTTACCTAACTTGTTTACACCAAGACACACCACCCTGCGCTTTGGTGGAGCCTCCCTTTTCAGTCACACTTGCCCTGATTTCAGCACTGTGGGCCCCTCCCCAGGAAGACCAGTGCAAATCTTGCCAACATCACATCTCCCCACCCAGGCATTGTGTGGGACATCAGTTCCAGCTGCAGAGGGAGCAGGTCTCATTTTGCAAATGGACAACCACACACTTTGTTAAAATGTGCCCCGCTCCTGCTGGGGACCAAACACTGCCCATGATAGGCAAAGAGAGCCTCTGCAGACAACTGGACTAAAGGAAAAAGAGGTCAAGACTCGATAGCAGAGGATACCAACACACCTAGGAAATATTCCTTTTGCCAGGCCCTGGGGAACAGGACATGCACTGCAGGTCACTACAGGACCTCTTCTTCATGAGGCTATTATTATCAAGAGCAAGAGAAGTAGCTGACGTTTCTAACACAGAAACAGACACAGAAAATCAGTCAAAATGAAGCAGAGAGGTATTTCTCAAATGAAAGAGGAGGACCACACCAAGGCACATAGTAGTTAAAATGGCAAAAAATAGTTATTAAAAAATGAGTTAGAGCCTATTCTTCTCAAACTATTCCAAAAAATAGAAGAGGAAGGGAAATTTCTAAATGTATTCTTTGAGGCCAGTATCACCCTCTTATCAAAGCCAGATAAGAACACCACAAAAAGTGGTGCCCAGGAGGCTCAGTCTGTTAAGCAGCTGCATCTGCTCAGGTCATGATCTCAGGGTCCTGGGATTGAGCCCCACATTGGGCTGCCTGCTCAGTGGGGAGTCTGCTTCTCCCTCTGCCTCTGCCCCCTACTTTTTCTCTCTCTCTGTCTCTCAAATAAATAAAATCTTAAAAAAAAATAAGAACACCACAAAAAAGAGAACTACAGGCCAATATTTCTCATTAATATAGGTGCAAAAATCCCCAACAAAATAGTAACAAATGAAATGCAACAATACATTAAAAAATCATGCACCCATAATCAAATGGGATTTTTCCTGGGATGCAAGCATGGTTCACTATTCACAAAACAATAAACGTGATATGTCACACAAATAAGAGGAAAGGATAGAAACCATATAATTTCAATAGATGCAGGAAAAGCACTAGACAAAGTAAAACATCCATTCATGATAAAAACTTACTGTAATGTAGGTCTAGAGGGAACATACCTCAACATAATAAAGATCTTATATGAAAAACCCCCAGTCAACATCATACTCAATGGTGAAAACCTGAGAACTTTTCCCCTAAGGTCAGGAACAAGATAAGCATGTCCATTATCAGCATTTGTTATTTAACAGAATACTGGAAGTCCTAACCACAGCAATTAGACAACATAAAGGCATCCACATTGTTAAGGAGGAAGTAAAACTCTCACTATTTGCAAATGACATGATACTGTATATACGAAACTGCTCGAATTGATAAATGAATTCAGTAAAGTCACAGGATACTAAATCAATGTACAGAAATCTGTTGCTTTCCTATACACTAATGATGAAACAGCAGAAAAAGAAACTTAGAAAACAATCCCATTTACAATTAAACCCAAACCAATAAAATATCTAGGAATAAACTTAACCAAACAGGTGAAAGACCTGTACTCTGAAAATTATAAAACACTGGTGAAAGAAATTCAAGATAATTCAAAGAAATAGAAAGACATGCCGTGCTCATGCATTGGAAGAATAAAGATTGTTAAAATGTCTATACTGCTCAAAGCAATCTACATATTTAACATAATCCCTATCAAAATATAACAGCACTTTTCACAGAACTAGAACAAACAATCCTAAAATTTGTATGGAACCACAAACGACTACAACCAGCCAAAGCAGTCTTGGGGAAAAAACAAAAACAAAACAAAACAAAAAACAGAACTGGAGGTATAACAAATTCCAGATTTCAAGGTATATTACAAAGCAGTAATTATTAACCAGTATGATACTGTCATAAAAATAGACACGTAGATTAGTGGAATAGAACAGAAATCTAAAAACAAACCCATAGTTGTTTGGTCAATTAATCTTCAACAAAGGAGGAATGAATATCCAATGGGAAAAAGACTTTTCAGCAAATTGTGTTGTGAAAACTAGACAACCACGTGCAAAGTAATGAAACTGGACCACTTCTTACACCATACACAAAAATAAACTCAAGATGGATTAAAAGGTCTAAACGTGAGATGTGGAATCATAAAAATCCTTGAAGAGAACACAGGTGGTAAGATCTCTGATCCTGGCCATAGCAGCATTTTTCTAGGTATGTCTCCGGAGGCAAAAGAAATAAAAGCAAAAATAAACTGTTGGGACTACATTAAAAGAAAAAGAAAAAAGTTTCTGCACAGTGAAGGAAACAACGAAACTAAAAGGCAACCTATGAAATGAGAGAAGATATTTGCAAATGACATAAAGGGTTAGTATCCAAAATATATAAAGAACTGATACAACTCAACACCTCAGAAAACAAACAAACAAAAAAAATGGGCAGAAGACATGATTTAAATTTAAAAATGGGCAGAAGACATGAACAGACATTTCTCCAAAGAAGACATACAGAAGGGCATCAGACACATGAAAAGATGCTCAATATCATTCATCATCAAGGAAATGCAAATCAAAACTACAGTGAGATATCACCTCACACCTGTCAGAATGGTGAAAATTGAAACACAAGAGACATCAAGTATTGGTGAGGATGTGGAGAAAAAGGAATCCTCTTTCACTGTTGGTAGGAATGCAATTGAAACAGCCTCTGTGGAAAACAGTATGGAGGTTCCTCAAAAAATGAAAAATAGAACTACCCTACAACCCAGTAATTGCTTTACTAAGTATTTACCCAAAAAGTACAAAACACTCAGTCAAAAGGATACATGCATCTCTATGTTTATTACAGTGTTATTTACAATAGCCAAGCTCTGAAAGGAGCCAGGTATCCATTGGTAGATGAATAGATACAGAAGAAGTGGTAAATATATACAATGGAATATTATTCAGCCATAAAAAAGAATGAAAGCTTGCCATTTGCAACAACATGTATAGAGCTAGAAAATATAATACTGAACAGATTAAGTCAGAGGAAAAAAAATGTCATATGATCTCACCCACATGTGGATTTTCTATACAAAAGAAATGAGCAAAGAAAAAAAAAGAGAGAGAAAAAAAAAAAAAAGAGAGAGAAACCAAGACACAGACTCTTAACTACAGAGAACAAATTGGTGGTTACCAGAGGGGATGTGGGAGGGATGGGGAAATTAGGGGATGTGGATTAAAGAGTACACTTATCATGATTGGGAGAAAAACAACAAAAATAATGACAACACTTGTCAAGTAAAACACTTTTTTTTTTTAAAGCAAGTGTAAATTAGGGAGATTTAAGGCTGTATTTGTTTGTCCTACAGGTGTTAGTTTTTCAGTGAGCATGAATGATTGTGGAACCCTTGAAAGCAGTAATTGCACAATTGGAATTTGCCTCTGCCTCTATACCTCCCATCCCCTTACTTCCATAAATTTGATCTTGCCTGCCTCTAGACTACTTTTTCAGTATTCATTTTCCTGACATTAAGAATCAGGGACATCATTCACCCCCGCTGCCTCCTTCTCCCTCCCACTTCCCCTGCCACGATCCCCCCTCCCACCAGCATGCCTCTGATACACTGATTTCACTAAAATGGAAAGGATTGATGAGCTGATAACTCCTCCACCAGGTATTCATTGGGTGTTAGGTGCCAGGCATTGGCAAAGGGCAGTTTTGCATGCATTAGCTAATTTAATCCTCAAAGCAATCCCATGAAGTAGATCAGTATGATGAACCTCTTTTTATAGATATAGGAACAAAGGCTTAGAGACACTTAATATACCATCTTTCTCTGGGGTATTTGCATTTAAATAGTAGACACAAAAGACTGTAGCCAAAAAGTGAACTGGAAAATTCCAAGCATCATGTGGAGGTCATGGGTGAATTCTTTGATTTTTAAAAAAGTGTTAGCCTTCCATCAAAGAGGAACATATATATATATATCTTTAATCAGCCAAGTGTGTGTGTGTGTGTGTGTGTGTGTGTGTGTGTGTGTGTGTATATATATATATATATATATACACATACATATATATATATTTCTTGGTCTTCTAGGAGATGTGTGGTATCTTCTAAAATATTGAGAGCTTTATTTGTATGTTTACAGATTTCTTAATGCACTGTCCCAGTGAAATCATTTATTTACTGTGGGCTCTCAGCAAAGTAAAGCTCTTTTCCTTTTGTAGACGTTTGCCTGAAAAAATTAAGGATGACCAAGAGTTGAAGAACATGAGTGGCCAATGGTTTTATGAAGCCAAGGCAAAAAGGCACAGAGACAGAATTCATGGTGCAGATATCATCAGAGCATCCATGAGAAAGAAGAAGCCCCAGGTAGCAGGTGAGTTGATTTGGCTAGGACATTTTGAGCCAGCATTTGTTTGGGAAGCCATTGTCAGGAGTTGGGAAGGGTGTTAGAGTCATTACTGAAATCTGCAGAGGGAAGTCACTTAGGGGTATACTTTGCATATGATTAGTCCTCCAGCTCAATATCTTCTTGCCCTGGATTCAGATGGATGAAGGCAGGGCCAAGGGACTCAGGGTAATATATAGAAAAACATTGGAAGTCCTTTAGATACTGTGTTGAGTTGTAGTGGTATAGACAGATGGGTTTATAAGGCATTCCTTTGCTTTTAACTCTGAAGATTTAGAACCATTTCCTCTGAGTAGGAAGACAGGAAGAGATTAGCTTCCCTTTCAACAACTTTGACATCTGGTACATCTTTAATCAGCCAAGTGCATCATTTAAGGGACTGTAAAGACAGTATTTTGAGGGCTTCTTTAGAATTCTGTTGGGTTTGTTAAATGGGTATGTTATGCCCTCTCTTTCACTCTGAGCTAGGCAGTCTAAACTTCTACCCCTGAGAAGAGCCCCTGTTTATATCTAGTCTGTACCCAATGAGGAAAATAGCTGTCACCTTTTGAACGTTTGACACATGATAGGAATTTGCTCTCTATTACATGCAACTATAGCAGCAGTCTTAAAAAGTAGGTAGCATTGCTAGCATCCCTCTTGATTTTCAACACCATCCAGGCCTTCGGAAATCTCGAGAGGTAAAGGTTAGTATTGTGGATTCTATTATGTGACAGAAGAAAGTAGACTTCTGTGTAAAGAGACCTGTGGGGAATACCACCCTGGAATGTGAGTATTTGGGAATCGGGAGCCCTAGTATTTCTTCATCTTAACATCAATGTAAAAGCATTCCTGGCACTTACTAGCACTGGGGTCAAAAGCAAGTTTCCTGAGCCTCAGTTTCCAAATCTGTAAACTTGGAAAATAGCAACTTCCTCACAAGGTAATGCAGGCACAAGACAATGCTGTGCCTGGCACTTAGCATAATTACTTAATGCTGATTATTTGAAAGGTGCTGGTAAAGAGCTCTGGCTGTTCAGAGGCAAAAAGAAGTCACTTCCTGAAGAGGGAGCATGGAGGTTTTATTGGGAGGGCCCTGGCATCTGAGCTGGGTATTGAGGAGTATGTAGAATTAGAGACTGGGGGAAGGAAGAGACGGTGGAGAAGAACATTCCAGGCTAGAAACATCTGTTCCCCTCTGCATTCCAGAACCCAGCCTCAAGTTGGACACATTGTTGACATCCAGTAAATGCTTGGTAATGATGGTATCTCTGTCCCAAAGAGGACTAGCTGCCCTGAGCATCTCCTGACCCCAATTCAGGTGAAATTCACCTAGAGGTGGTCACTATTTTGCTGGAGTGGTCTCTGGAGTTACCTGCACATTTAAAGGTCCACTCTTAGTCTCAGGAGATTCTGCTTGGGGGAAGCCAAAATCACGTATAATTTTGCAGTTATAATTCTGACCCTGGGGACTCAGACTCATGAATGATTGCCTTGGCACTGCAGGAAGACCTGAAGTTCAGGTTTGAGCTTCGGTGATAGGAGATTTAAGAATGTTATAGGTCATGGAGGTGAGAGATAACCTTCCTGACTTCACTGTTTCTTCTTTCAGCCGAGCAGAGTAAGGAGAGAGCAAATGAAGCAAAGGAAAGTTGGGTAAATAACGTCAACAAGGATGCTTTCCTCCCTTCAGAGCTAACTGGTGCTGTGGGAGAGCCAGAAGATGTAGCCCCAGCAAGCCCAAGGTAAGACAGAGCTCACAAGGACAGTCACTGCATGTGGGATTCATGGCTCAGTGTGCTATGAGCACCAACACCAGACTATTCTCACAGGTACTGTGAAGTATATATAAGAGAAATCTGGGCCTTAACATGGATAAAACTGAGTACTACTCTTTTCCAGCTTCCAGAATTTCTAATAATTCGGAACATTAAGTAAAACTAAAACGTTGAGGGGGGATTTCTTCCAGCACCAACAATAGCTGGTTTTTCTTTGTATTAACGATTTTACCCTAGAGTGGAATGAAGAGGTACTTCAAAATAAATATAGTCACTTCAGAGAAGAGGTGAATAATGATCAAATTGTTATAACATGGTGTGGTGGCAAAAGCTCAAACACGGGAACCAGACATGAATTCAAATCCTAAATGTGCCATTTATTAGCCACTTAATGATGGGCAAGTCATTTAACCTAAGTCTCTTTTCTTAACCATGGATAGGAATGATAATATAGACCAGGAAAGGCTGTAGTGAGAATTAGTGGTAACATATGTAGAATACCTGACACATAGTAAGTGCTAAGTAAATGGCTCTTCAGGATGCAGGTTGTCCTCAATATTTCAGTCTGATCGTGTTGGTGTTTTCCATACCTGTTACCATCTGTCCATCTGTCCGGTCTAAGTGTACATTTGAACCTGATCGTGGAGCTACATTGCCACAGATATTTTGATGATTTGCTTTTAGGTATGTAGAGATCTTCCCATTAGTGTTCATCCCTTGGGACTTTGGTTGTTACCCTTTAGTGGGAAGGCAGGTGCATTTTCTCTGTAGCTTCTCAGTGGAGATGATTCAATTCAGAGTCTCCAGCAGGGCTGAAGTCCACAATTTTCCTGATGGTACAGCCACCGAGTCAAGTGCCAAGTCTGAGGCACCTGGGGAACAGAGGTGTTCCCAACATAGTTTACAGGTGAGGGAGAGGGTCTGTAACATAGGCATCAATAGACATTTCAGAGCCGAATATGACTAAAGTTACATCACATAGACAAGGGAATACTGATTCTATTAAGGCACCCATTGTCTATTTCCCTGTTGGAGAGGACTCACTTTGTTTTCCATGGGTGGTAGACTGGACTGTTTCCCCTCTGGGCTGATTTGTAATGTTCTGTTATGTCTGTAGAGGCCATGTTGGCTAGAAGTTAAACAGTAAGTAGCCACTAGGTGATTTTGTGACCTTGTACTAGAAGTGACTTAACTTCTTGGGCCTTTGGTTCCTCAACTGTAAGATGGGATGATAATGATTTGCCAGCAGGATTATTGAGAATTTAATTAGCTAGTAAATGTAGAATTCCTAACATGGTCAACAGCACATAGTAGGCATTCAGTGAATGGAAGTAGGGGCTATCACAGAGAGTGAGAGCCTACCCCTGCCACCTCCCTTTGGTGACTCCCCATTCACCAGCAGTCCCCCAGTGGGATAAAGGATATCCTTCCATAGGGGAAGATGAGATCTGAAGTATTAGAAACTCCAGGAGTGAGAATGAGAACACAGTCATTTAGAATGACCATCAAGGAGCTGACAGAAGCTCCTAAGAGCAAATTTGATAGGGATCAAGGATATCAGAACACTGACTGACTAGGCGAGTGGATATAAGTCCCACAGAAGGAGGAAGGAGATTTGGGGATATCAGAAGACCAACTTAACTCACTGAACAGTTTTGTGTGGGTCAGACTTCCTGTCCTTCTTCCAAGAACTCATTTCTACTCAAAGGCCCTGGGGGACAGAGGCACCACTGCCCTCCTAGCCCAGCTCATTTTCTTTATGACCTAAGGCAGTCTGGTGGGTGTATCTCCCCTCTTCCTCAGTTTGAAGCTACTAATACAGCTTCAGCAATTCATGTCTCCAGTATTTCCTGCATTCCTTGTGTGACCTCAGAGAGTCTTTCTGGTCTCATCTATAAATCAGAGCAGAGCTGCCTCACCAGGATATTATGAGATTAAATGAAAGGAGATGTGGGAACCACTTAGCATTTCACAGGAAGAAAGAAAATTGGTAATTTCCAGTGGCTTTATAATTATGTGATTGTAACATAGATGAGGTATGGTCGAGAAGGCAAGAATAAAAATGTCAGATGCATCTAGTTTGCTTCCCTCATTACATGACCTGGGTGGTAATCATCCAGAACTGTGGAAGGGGCTGATGTATGCTTCCTCCTTCCCATGTCAGAAACTACTACTTGACTCAGTGTCAGGTCCTTGCGGTGTTTCTCACTTACACTTTAACCTTTGGGAACTGGGTGTGTTAAGTGTATTTTGGGGCTTGTGCTTTTAGAGGAATTGAACTTCAAAAGAATGACTCAGTACCTGTCAATATTTTCTTAGCTAGGAGTCAGGTGTCTGGGAGTGTTGTGAGGCAACAGTGACTAGAAATTGAAGTTTCAGAAGGAGTTTTTCTTTCTTTCTTTTTTTTTTTTAATTTAAATTCAGTTAGCCAATATGTAGTACATGTAGTGTTCAATAATTCATCAGTTGCATGTAACACCCAGTGCTCATTACATCACATGCCCTCCTTAATGCCCATCATCTAGTTACCCCTCCCCCCGACTCACCTCCCCTGCAGCAACACCCAGTTTGTTTCCCATCGTAAAGAGTCTCTCATGGTTTTTCTCCCCTCTCTGATGACTTCCCATTCAGTTTTCCTCCCCTCCCTTATGATCCTCTGCACTGAAACTAAAAGGTAGTATGCTGAGTGAAATAAGTCAGTTGGAAAAAGGCAATTATATGGTTTCACTCATATGTGGAATATATGAAGGAGTTTTTCTAATAGACTCTGTGGCAAGATTCCTTCTTTCTATGAGCACAATTCTGTGTGGTCCTGCCTGGGAAGAACTGAATCGCTGTGGGTGCCCAGCATGAACTCAACTACCATCCCATACCTGTGTTTTTCACAACTCATCTTTGTTTGCACCTGTCACATGAGGAAGCAGAGAGAGGCTTGATGAACAAAGGATCAGAGAATGAGGTTTTCTTTAGATTGGCAAAGGAAAGACTCCAAATACTTACAGTTCCAATGCTGGTTGCTGAATTTTAAGGGCAGTGTTGGTGCTAAGTGTGGTAAAAGACTAGTGTATTCATTTCCTAAAATGTGTGTATTTCTAGTCATCACAGATTAGTACCTTTTATAAAATATAACAGAAAAAAAATACAGAAAGCAACAAAGGCATGCAAAATATAAACCATGTGCTAGGATGTCTCAGCAAATTGCTATAAATGATTCTAAATGCATACTCTCAATTTCTGTATTTAGCTCATTGTGAACCAGTAACAATTCTCAGATTGGCACTGGTCCGTGAACCACACCTTATAGCACGTGTCCTTTCCATAATAGTCTAGAGGGCATGGCTAGGCCAAAGTGGGGAGTACACCATAAAGATGTGAAAAGCTCTTCCCATGGGGTCAGGACCCTACCATAAAGAAGGTGTAACATGTCTTGACTATGGAGGGAGACCTGCGCTGGAATGAGAAGACCTTCTTTTGCTACTTGAGATCACATGTTCTATGAAATAAGGTTGGGCGCCCTGGGCAACGCTGAAAGTCTAGTAGCATCTCTACTGACAAGGGCCATGGATGTCCCTACTGTTGGTGCTTCTTTGGTCTGAAGAAACCTGGAAATGGACTGGTCTTATAGTTTCTGTCTCTCTCTCTAACCTCTTCCTTGAAGATAGTCTCTATGAAGACCGGAATAGTTTATATTGTCTTAGCTCTGTGGCCTCACATGGGGCCAGTACTCTAAAAAGAAAAAAAAAAAAAGATAGTTTCTCAAGTGTGTCCCAAGCTTCCCAATTCTTTCTTCCTTCTGATTCCTCTTCCTACACCTTTCCCCCTCCCACATCCCTCAATTGCCTGGTAGCCTCTCCTTTCTCCTCTAAAGGGATAATTCCACTTAAAGGAATACTTGACATTGTAATAACTTAAGCCTGTGTGGATGGAAATGTTGAGCTTCTTGTCTTTTCTCAGTGGTCACCCTACTGAAACATGAGTCTGAGCATGTTTGTGACATCCTAACACACCAAGTCGTTCTTATCATGTGGTGTATAATGCAGATGAGGGCATTTCATTGAAAGGAAGCAGAGGTCTGTCACGTGCCTGTCTCCAACACTGTGTGGATTTTCTGCTGGGAGGACTTCCAGTTCCTCAGGGTTTCTGAAGATTAAAGAATTACCTTTTGAATACAGAAAGGTCAGAGGCTTCAACCATGGGAAGCAAGGTGTTAGGTGCTGAGAAGACTATGTTAGGGGCTGTGGGCATCTGAGTCAGGGAAGCTTCTAGAGATAGTTACATGTAGGGCAACTCTTGAAAGATGAGAAGGATTATGGCAGGTAGGCATGGGGAAGGAACAATACAGGCAGACAGGATGATGTGGGGGTCTGGTATGTTGGAAACGTGGAAAGGGTTTAGTCTGGTGGGTATGCTGTGTGAGTGGTGGGCAGTCAGGCTGGAGGAAGAGGCTGGGCCCAGATTGTCAAGAGCCCTGTGTTGGCCAAAAGGCTAGACTTTTTCCTTAAGTCACAAGAAGCCATTAAATGACTTTTTGATCAAGTTTACTTTTTAGAGTGATCATTCTGGTAACTCTGTGGAAGATGGGGTTAGAAAGTTCAATTAGAACATTGTAACAGAAGGGGTGCCTGGGTGGCTCAGTGGGTTAAGCCTCTGCCTTCGGCTCCGGTCATGGTCCCAGAGTCCTGGTATCAAGCTCCGCATCCGGCTCTCTGCTCAGCAGGGAGCCTGCTTCCCCCTCTCTGCCTACTTGTGATCTCTCTCTCTGTCAAATAAATAAATAAAATCTTAAAGAGAAAAAAGAACATTATAACAGAAGCTTAGGTGAGAGATGGTAAGAACCTAATGAAGGGAATGGAGAAAAGAGGAAAGGTATGGTGGAGCTTTAGAGATGAAATTAGAAAAAATTTGAAGGGTTGGTAGGACACAGATATCTGATAATCTATAAAGGATATGTGGGTCATTTGATGAGA